CTCATAAACTACTCGTCCTAAGTTCGATTTTTATGTATCAAAATACTTAGAAAAATATTCTGCTTTGGAATATGAAATTAAAACTCTATGCTGTCATTTAAAAAAGTAAAAAACTTAAAAAATTATAAGGATAAAAAATATTTAAAAATATAGTTTTTTTAATGAAAACGTTGTTTTTTTAACACCTTGAAACTATGTAAAAAAATATTTTCAAAAACATTAATACTTTTTGAGGTAATGAGTGTTTTACGCTTAATGAATCACCTTGTATATTATCGTACAATATATATGTAATGTTTTAAGATACCGAAAAAATTAACCCATGGCAGTGGTGTAGCGAAATAGCCTACCTATAACGCCATGTGAATATCAGAATGTTATGTGATCATAATATTATCTTAATTTGAAGTTTCAGGCGCAGCCGCGGCTAGCAAGACGTCAAACCATTCTAAATTCTGAATATGAACTTTAATTAAATATTTTCATAATTTATCAAAGAAAAAACTTGCAGTGCTTTTGTATAATATATATTGTGATTTATAATTAATAAATCTAATATATACCTCTATAGTTAAATCTATAGAAATATAGTAAATAAAGATATACGCATATCATTAAAATAATGGAACTGTTGAAAGTTATCCCAAGGTTTGATAATGATATTAATTATTATTTGTTCATTTATATAGACTACGGTTTTGTGAATGTTCAGCACTCAAGTAAAATCGGCTATTTTATATTATATTGTATAGATAGAAATTTCGACCCACCTATATTAACATCCACAAAAATGTGCTGAACACGTGGTCTAGCCTCAGACTGAAAAATCTTTTCCATACTAGCATTAATCATTATCTAATACAGTGTACCTTCAGCAACAAATAAACAATGTTTGGAAGTCGAGTGATTATTTATTATACTATGACTAATTAGTGTAACGTAATTAAAAACAAAACCAAACTAAATACAAGTTTTGAAAAAAATCATTTTTAGAAGATAACGTCTTACTAGTAAATTATTGTAATCAAAATAATAAATACAGTATGTGGCATTAAATCTTGCTATTTTAGCTATTTGAGAGAAACAATATCCATTTTTGACGACAGGTGTGTCGGAAATACCTAACATCGAAAAAAAAGTTACATTTTGAACATTTTTTAACTATTAACGAATAAATAATTGTCGTTCAAAAAAATTGTATAGTGCAGTTTAAAGTGTCAGAATACGCTCTTCCTTTTCAAAATCTAAGTAACAATAACGACGTTTGCAAAACTGTTTTTGATCCCTTTCCTATCTAGAGCAAACATTTTTGTAAAACTTTTTAGCAAAGTTGTTACTCTATAGTGCCGTAATCTATCTAGCTTAGTTTCGAATTTCGCTCAAAAATCTTTAAACCACAAAATTGTCTAAAAGTAAATTTGTATTCAAATAGCCATCAACATTAATGTCGGCAATACCTAAGATCGAAAAAAAGTTACATTTTGAACATTTTTTTCTATTAACGAATAAATCGCCGTTCAAATAAATAGTATAGTGCAGTTTTAAGTATCAAAATAAGTTTTTTCCTCTTCAATATCCAAGTAACAACAACGTCGTTTGCAAAACTGTTTTCAATCCCTTTCCTATCTAGAAAAAAAATTTTTTGGCAAAGTTGTTACTCTACGGTTCCGTAATCTATCTAGCTTAGTTTCGAATTTCGCTCAAAAATCTTTAAACCACAAAATTGTCTAAAAGTAAATTTGTATTCAAATAGCCATCAACAGGTATGTCGGAAATACCTAAGATCGAAAAAAAGTTACATTTTGAACATTTTTTTTCTATTAACGAATATATCGCCGTTCAAATAAATAGTATTGTGCAGTTGTAAGTATCAAAATAAGCTCTTTCCTCTTCAAAATCTAAGTAACAAAAACGTCGTTTGCAACACTGTTTTCAATCCCTTTCCATTTTAGAATAAAAATTGTTGTAAAATTTGTTTGGCAAAGTTGTTACTCTATGGTTCCGTAAACTATTTAGCTTTGTTTCAAATTTAGCTCGTAAATCTTTATACCACAAATTTTTCTAAAATTAAATTTATATAAAATAGCCTTAACATAATAATGTCGTTTTAAAAACTGTTTTCAATTCCCATATAATTGTTTATTATAATATATATTTTTTCCTCTTAAAAATTTGTTGTATTAGTTAGAAATATTATATATTTTGCATCTAATTCATAAAATGATTTGTTAAAAAAAAAATTTTTAGATTTTTCATATTTTGGTATCGTTCAAAATTGAACAATATGTGACATTGATTTAATATTGTTTATTTGTATTTTCTAATAATTTATTCTTGGTCCTCAGAATTTTGCTCATCAATACTTATCATTTATCAATATAAACTCGAGGATAGCCGCCACTCCGGCCACTAGGTACCTCTACACTCCAGGAGAGCCGATCTGAGAGACGATATTATAATAGTTTTGCGTACAATAATATAATATACATATACTACTTTCGTTGAGAGATATTTAGAGGAGACTGCTATGTGTCTTATTATAATATATATTGTCGTGAATAAGACAATGGTCTCTCATATGTCGAAATAGACGCCTTCGATTTCTAATGACCATTATTATATTATAATTTATTGCCATTATATACTGGTATGTCTATAATACTATTAGGTACTCATATTATATTTTATATTATTATAATAATGTGATAAGACCACTTCCGATACGTAATTAATAGCATATAATAATATCGGCGGGCAGACGATGATAGGGCGCGGCTCGTTTACACTTCACATTTAAATTATGTATACAAGATCGAACGATAAGACAGCTCTATTACCATTATCATGGAACGAATTTTATGGCGGTGGCGTGCTGGGTGACGGGGACTAGGAACAATGATCTTATAAAATAAAAATCACTTAACGTTTCGTGACGAGCGCGTATGATATTTATGTAACGTTATACAGTCGGCAAAACTTTAAACGTATATTAATATGTAGAGGTACTATGTGTCCGGGCCCGTCGTTTGACTACAAGCAAGTCATGCCTCTTACACATTTAAAGAAATCGAAGGCGGTAAAATTAAATAAATACTGGTAGAGAAGGGCGGCATTAAAATAGTGGACGGAAAATATCTACGGCCTGTCTAAATTATAAGAAAACCTCGAGCGATCCGATTTCGAATTCGGTACATCCGCTAAAAACAGTCCGTTTTTCTGCGCTTGAAAGTGAACATCCCTATAAACGTGCGACTATAAGTCGGCCGTCAGTCGAAATGTATACGAACGATTAAGTGTTTTATGAATGAAAAGCAATTTATACTGACCCGTAAAACGTCCCTCGTCGTAATGTAATAACGATAGTATATTTATCGGTATAAATATTTGGGTCGGCTAGGTTTATGCGCAATATAATAAATACTACACACAGTTTTGTTCGTCCGAACAAAAGGAGATCAACGTCGTTTACCTCGGTGTTTCCGAATTCGGACAAGTGACAAAAACCATGTGAGTTGCGGACGAATCTAAAAGGTAACATACGAATTGTAAGATACTAATTATAAAGATATACAATATAGAATACAAATATAAGATACTAATTGCGGATAATGTTACAATATTCACGTGGTGAAATCAGTAGAATATCATATATACAGACTGTTTTAAAAACTATGACAATAATTAATAATGACGATAATCTATAAATATTTTATAAACAATTTTTTCCACAAAATTAAAACAATCATAATCAACAAATTTAAAATAACGATTGCTCTTTGAAGACACAATTTTTTATACAATTTTTTTAGGTCATAAGTCCTGAAAGAGTAAGGGATGGTCCACACACGTAGTTTTTATTAAAGTACGCAATTTATTGACACGTGTCGAATGTTATTTATTCTAACCGAATTATATATGTGTCGTTAACCTTACTTTTGACCATCAATAAAGATACGAGCGTGTACAGAGATTAATAATGTACGTGATATGTGATTCCCTTTTTTAACGGTAGCGGTTTTTACTAATTCAGGATGACCGTAGTACTTCATTGCAGATATTTGACCATTTGGGGACTTGCAGAGAGTTCCGTATAATTCCTGTTATCACGACTGATTATAATTAAGACCGGTGACGACGTAATTTGTGAGCAGTCGCGCAGATACAACATTTATTGCATAATATGCTGCAACAAGGACTCAGATGGACTGGAAACTATAGCAGCTTATCAGCTCAAAAGTATTTACAAGAAACACGATTGTCGCAATGATTGTTGAAAGTTTACAACCCTCATATAACATGTATAAACCACGGACTAAGATACAAAATGCGACGCCAAACAAAACCACCTGTAGAGCTGTAAACATTCAATGTGTAACATTGTTGATGATAACAGAGGAACCTTTTGCGGGCTCCCCACTATGTCGTTTCCAGTCCATTATATCTTAGTCCGTGATAATATGCAACGTATATTATTATGCATAATATTTTACGTCGTCGTTTAGAGTTGTTAATCGCCGTGGAAACTCGGCTATATAATACGTTTGTATAGTGAGTAAAACGGTTCGGTTGTCACGGTTTTATATCCGGAATAACTGGCGCGACCAACCGATAATACCGGAAACTAACTTTTAACGCTTACGGTTATTGTACATGGATATAAGGTACTATGTTATAATATATAATAATGTAGAACAATGTTGTAATCGTATTAATTAATGCTATTTAAAATTCAATAATTATACATGCTTGTGTTGACTAGACTTTACGTAATTTACATCGTATATATAAATAACAATATAATATTAAAATGTAGGTAATCATATTCGGTGGTTAATACAATTATAAACTATGTAGTAACATTATATAAATATATACGTTTAGATTTAAACTTAATTATGCACATGAGAGTAATAATATAATAATATTAATAATAATAATAATTTTAAGTGTGGTATATTCAAAATGTAAGTTGTGAAGATGAGGTAAGGAAAAAAACGTGTTCAGGAACTTTCAGCTCCGCAAATGCATTCGTCTCCTGTGTGATCCATAATCCAGTCCAGGTAGTTGGCCACTCTGGTGTACACTCCTGGATAGTTTTCCCTGGCACATCCTTTGCCCCAAGACACGATACCTATAAAGAGATTTACGAGATTGCAGATTAATATAGATTACGAATTTCACTAGGTATATTATTATACATACCTATGACTTCCATAGTATCAGAAGAATCTATGTGTCTGTGCATCGGTCCGCCACTGTCGCCCTGCAGAAAACATAATACATTTACGGTATCTAATTTACTCACAATAATAGTCATAATATTTAACATTTTCACGCACACAAAGTCGTAAGCATCCGTGAATAACGATTTGGTCGTAAATGTTATCATATTATTAAAATCATAAGGTTTATACCTGACAGGCGTCCTGTTGGCCTTCCTTGTATCCAGCACATATCATGTTACTGGTGATCTTCTCAGGCGAATATCCCATATCCTTGCAGTCCGCGTTCGATATGATTGGTACGTCGACTTTCTGCAGGATGTTGGATGACTTTTTGCGTTCGCCCAATCTGCCCCATCCGATCACGGTGCCCTTGATACCTTCATAGGACGTGTCGGCTGCGTATGGAAAAATTCTTCTTTAAGTTCGGTATTTATAATATATATAATACATTGTACATGGTAGACACTCACCGGACTTGGGTAAGCACGCGACGCGCACCCACGGGCTGTTGATGGGCACGGGTTCACGAAGTTCTATGATTGCGATGTCGTTGTCGAAAGTGCTCAGTCGGAAGTCTTGGTGCCGGTGGATTTGGGTCACGTGGTGCACGGACTTGCGGCCGGTTTCAACTTTCCGGTCGTGTTCGCCGATGGTCACGGTTAGATCTTTGGGGCTGAAACTGCAAAACAGAAATGGTAATCGTGATGAAAAACGTGTACAGCAGCACTGTAAATAGTGGTTCGATAAATCGGCTATATTCCAGACTACACTAGATCAGTGGAAATGATGGTTAAAATATTCTGAAAATCATAATTCTATAGGTATATTATAGGTATGGCATATACCTATTATAGGACGATTAAAGATTTTCACAACCGATCGTATAACCACCGTATGATCGCGGTTTACCTATAATAGTGTCGATGCAATATTTTGTCGTAGACACGCAGCTTGTAAATATATTATATAGGTACTGTGGACTTCTATAGTATTACTTACTTCTCGACGCAATGGGCAGCGGTAAGCACGTGCTTCTTGGTGATGAGTGTGCCGCCGCAATAGAACTGACCTCGTCTCGCCAACGTGGCCGCCCAGCCGAATTCGTTTTCCCGTGTATCTTTGCCGTTGACGATCTTCGCAAAAGCCGACCTCCGTTCTGGTTGGGTCCCGCACGGTTTATCTATTTAAAACCAACGATATAATGGACATTATGACGCGTTATCACGTATGATAGATAGCTAGACTATATATAAAATGTCATATTGTTTAATGCACAGCATATAAGGTCATTATAATTTTTTTTTATAACGCACCTTGCGTTCAGTTTTTTTGTTTTTGCAAACAAATGGCTGGGTGCTATACAAAAAAGGTGTTACACCATTAAAATATTATGATAAGTATAGCCGTGTAGGCACAAGCTTAAAGAACAACAATTTATGTATAGAAAATGACTATACATCGGCTTGCACAACGTAATATCATCGCATAATGCGGCTAAAATTCAATTGTCATTCGATGTTCCAATGCGGCAATGCCTGATAAGAGTGCAATTAGTGGTCTGAAAGAATTCAATAACTCGGAAGATAAATCTTTTTAGACTCACCTACGTTTTTTCATCAATAAATTGATGTAATATTATTTTAATAAAATAATTAAATTGATACCTATATACTTGTTAAAAAAATTTGCTACGTCGTATTTTATGTTGTCATACAAGATATACTCGATTGTGTATAATATTCATGTGACATGAATAAATAATATTACGCATGTTTTTGTTAATAAAAACGAACATTTATGTCAGGCCCTGCATCTGTTCAATTCTATTGTAGGTACATTAGATTTATTATTATGAAGTTAACCACGAATAGGAATTTTGTGATAAGTCGTCGTTCTGTTGTAGTTATAGTTATATATATATAGGTATGTCGTATGATAATGTTTGCCTATGTCCTATAGGCTATAGTTATTAGTATTACGGTTCGCACATTCTTCTAGACCGGAAACCTCCATTATCTGCTGTGCTTAAAATGTTAGTAGTATCTGTATACCATTGTACATATTTCGTGCCTAAATAATAACAATATAACAATGTGCCTAATATATTAAAAAAGTTATATTAAGATTAAAAACGTTAAGAGATTTATGTATGATTATTAAAGTAATCTACGGTCGCGTTTCCGGAACATCGTAATAATATTATAATGCGTGTGGAGATCATAATGTTATAATAATAATATGTCTATACGTGGTTACACGGAAGCACAATCAATTCCGCCAAAAAGACCATCAATTAAAACGAAAACGGTCCTTATAGCCATCATACACACACAATCGTTTGCCGAATCTATATACGGACAGACATGCTCAGTATTTCATCGGATTTCCCTTTTGGCCGGGGTTCCGTGACGGACGTTTCCGAACTGACATAATCTATTAACCGCGTAATAGTTGTTATACCTCGGTGTTGTGTACAGTAACAATATTATTTTTATTTTTAATCACTGCTCACCCCATTTTTTACGATCACGTGAACTGTACGCTTGTTACGATCCGAACTACAATTTTTGGAATTTCGGGGTGTCTGCGGTTTGTGGAGGTACTGACATTTTTTTAACGCAAATCTTCGGACAAACGGGTTTCGACAAAACGTCGAATTCTTAATCAAATCTGAATTTGAACGAATTGTTTCTGAGGTATGCTGCAGTAATATAACATAATACTATATGTACCATACGTATTATATTAGATAACAGTAGGTACACGTGACGAGCGCACATTATTGCAAGTACACAGATTTCGTTGCAGTTGCCGAAAACGAAACGGTTCGGAATAACTATATGCGCACGAAATGTTATCGTCGTGTACGACGTACAATAATGACAATAATAATAATAATATGTAATACGCCACCGACGACGACGTGCTTTATGATATAGGTAAATGTGGTTAAAATTATGTGCGTTTCGTACAATGTAAATACAGAGGAGTCGTTAAAATTTACGTTACAATGTGATTATGTAGCATATTATGAGCGAGAAAATGGAACGAGCGGTTAAATGTTAATATATGTCCGCTGGACAGGTGCAGCGGCAACTGACGAGGTTTCGTGTTTCTTTTTCATACGTAAATTACTTCCGAAACGATATATTATTATGTCTCCGCTCTCCATTCATATTCAAACTATAATAAATGTCGTTATATAGTGAAATACTGTTTATATTATATTAGGCCGATCGAAGAAAGTTAAACGTGTTTTATAATATTATAGTGAACAGATATATGCATCAGATACGGCGACGTATAAATATTAAAATGTCAAGTTAATTGCTGTTTTTATTTACGGCAACACCTTTTTCAGTATAACCTACCCACCTATCTACTACCTGGTATAAACCACGACCCGTTAGGTGTATATTGGACACTCGATAGTAGGGTAGTTGCAGTAGATGCATAAGGATACATTTTAATATTATTATTAATTAACTATTAAAAACAGTCGAATGTACTTACCTAAATTCTAAAGTTAATATTATTTATTATTTTGAGTAAAAAGTAAATACAGTGTCCAATGTCCATCCAATATACCTTATAACTAACATTACAAGTTAACTAAATAGGTAAAAGATTAACTACCAAGTACAGAATAAGTAGGATGGCGTAGGGAGGGGGGTATGAATTATTAGATTTCAGGAGCCTATCTCTTTTTACAAAATAATGTTTTTAATGCACACATTGAAAATAATTTAAAAAAATAAAATATTACGAATAGATATTTGACTACTTGGTAAATTCATGATAAATTAATATTTGATAACATAAATATTATAATATTATAATAAGTTTGTGAGTGTTTGTGAGAATGATAGTTGTGAACATTGTTGTTCAATATAAAGATATTATACCATGTGGTAGGTAAGTAATTAATTTTTTTTGACGTCAGTGACGAAGTTGAGGTTTAACAGTTCACAGTTGAAAGGGACAAACCGAGTGTCTCAGTGGAGTGAATCATACAAATAAAATGGTGTTGTTATAATAATTTCAGGTGACCTACCCCTCATAATATTGTCATACATTCCTATAAAATGTCCTATTTTTCTTCTATCAATACCCACCAGCCCATATTTAAGGAGTTGCCTGAGCAAATCTTGAACTCTATACCTATGTCACACGCCACTGCAGGAGTGTCTGGTGTTTCGGGGACCGATTGATCTTTAACCAGTGTTCGTTAACTGTTCGTATACACATGCACTTACATACATAATAACGTATTTGTGGATAATTATTTTGTTCTATAATAAAAATGCTTAAATCGATTTTAAACGATATCTATTATATGCCGACGGTCGCAACGCGCATTTAATCGGTACCTACGCCCTATATATGCACTGATTAACGACATAATTAATAACTGAAAGCTTATATGTACAAGCGACTATAATATTATTGTATAATCGAAGTTATGTACACCGCCTAAACCGCAACTCGTAAGTAAGTAACAAAGGATTACGTACTATTGTTATTGCTTATAGTTTGATCGTATTATTATTGTACCTATCATCATATATTATTACATTTGTTTACTCCGAGAACAAGATATATCGCTATTGGGAACGAGTAACCGTTACTTAACCCTTATTTAAACGCTCAGATAAATTACTTATATAGTTTACCCAAACGGAATACGGCAAAAATTAACGTAATGCTTAATAATGTTTGTAAAATATTTCAAAACGTGATCATATTAGCACGGAGGGATTAACAAGATTTGCTGTAGATCCCCATTATTATTGTTTTTTATAGTACATTTACGGGATCAAGAAAATCCTTTGTCAAAACAAAATAAAAATTATAATAAACGATTTAAAATAATAATACTCTGAGTTTAGAGCTGGACACGAATTCAATTAAAATTATAGGCGTGTTAACACGGTGTCCTACGTGAGCGAATTCAACGCGAACGCGGTTTTTAACAAATTCTTGACGTTTATGTTTATTTAGCCCCACTTAATAACACCTACGTCCTACATATATTGTAGTTGCAGATATTATAAATATTTAATATTAATTATGCATTTATAATTATTATCTAATTAAATTGTAAAATAAAAAACTAAAATATTGAGTTCGTCAAATTATATTTAAAAACGTCCCGAATTAGGTGACTGGTAGAAAAATGTTAATCTATTGTTTGTGAAAATTTGACGAAATAATATAAGCTCTGAACGAATCTTGTCACATTATTTTAGAAAGAACTGACTATTGAGTGACTAATCCAATAACTTTTGTTATAATTAATACTTTGAAAAAAAATTTTTATATAATTTATAAAAACTTTCGCTATATGTTTATAGTATACATTTTTTCAATTTTATTTCCTGAAACTGAAAATTTTTTAAGATTTGATTTTTCGGAAGATTTCAAAATAGCCAATTTGCAAATGTAATTACCTATAGGAACAATTTTGATGGGTAGTAAAAACATTTATCCAAGTCAAGTAGCTTATTTTTTAGAATTTTTTAATTTCAATATTTTTTTGGAGTACTTAAATTAATTTAAAACGTAATTACTTTTTTCAAAATATTATCTTTGGGAATTTCGTGACATGAGTATGTTTTTTCAATTATTTATTATCCATATATAATTTTCACCATTTTTGTCGTAAGTTTAACTAGCAACAATTTTGTTTTTTTTTCCAGATATTTCTGTTAAATCCTTGTACATAGCAATAAAGCTTTGATGTAGGTATACATAGACATTTAGAAAATCATGTACCTACGTTCAACAGTGTTTACATGCCTTACGATTTAAAATTTCGTCTGTCGCAAGCACCAACAGCTGCCATATGCAGAGCCGCAAAAGTCCTAATATATACATATTGTAATGATAGTATTAAAATCCAAATAAACAACGAGCATAAAACCTACTATAGTTATACATGTACCACCGCTCGAGCGGACATTTGGAAATTTGGAGGATCGACGAATAATAATTTATGAAAAACGTACGACAGACAGGCGAATAATTTCATAAATTATAAATTTTTCGAAAATCGTATCTGGGTTAAGGTTACCTGGTGTAGAATAATTTATAATATTTATATTATGTATATGATCGCCACCGTTCGGGTCGATTAAACTGCGATGTGTACGAAATTCAATTTTGAACGGTACGCGGTGTTATCGTAACGTGCGAAACGTCGATTTGCAGCGAAAACACAACCACGCGTGCCGGCGTGTCGTAAATCAATTTTCGGTCTGTTTCGGAGGTTTAAGGGGACAACACTGTACAATAATATATGAGTATAATAGAACCTATGAAATTTGCTCTTTTCATTTGGTCGCAAAAATAACAAGACTGTTTCAATGGAGTTGTCATTACAGCCATGGCGGGTGGAGGGGAAACTAAAACAATATTATTTACCAAATAGAAACGAAAACATCACTCGGATTCCTTTAGTGTATAACATATAATATGTGTACCTACCCAGGACCTTCGGGTTCACTTAGACCAGCGTGTGCTGTGTTTTTTTTGTATAGCCTCAAAAAAATCTTAAAAACAAATACAATATAACTATCGTCCGAAACAGCTGTACTATTATCGAAATGTCCCAACGATTCAGGAGATGTGACTCAAGGCATATAGTATAGCCGTACTATAGCCTACTTGTGTACAGAAAATAATGCGTAAGAATGACGTGAGTTTTCCCCCCGTGAACGTGATTTTCATGTGTTTTCTAGTGTTTACTCAATAGTAACAATATAGTAATGACAATAACAACATACTATAACCCTGCTGTATGAGGTTAAAACTCGATCACTTATAATTGATCAACGAGCTGTGTGTTTGTTCTGGAAAACACGGAACAGCGAAAAACAACGGGGGAAAAAAATTATGAAAGAATAAATGTTACGTCCGGAACTCAAACGTTTATACAAATATATTTTGTAATATATTTTTTTTATAACAATGTAATGTTTGTATACATGACAATGTGATTAGCATTGGTTTTTATTGTTGTATATTTACCACACGCCGAGCAATATCTGGTAGGCCGTTCGTCCGGCACCTGTTCATCCCGGTAGTCGAACAAATGATCCTGAAAACAAAACGCACGACACGTAAATCAATTCAATATAACATTATATTCATTTCAGCACACTGGCGATATCGCGTGCATATTATGACTCCCGGGGAGGACCTTATACTCTCGTCGAGGTCGCCATCGTTATTATGTGATTATATTATTATCATATTATACTGCTGCAGTACTATAAATACGCTATGGACCCGGCCGTGCAACAGGTGATTTCGAAACAGTCGAATTCGAATAGCGCATAGGTACGTGGATTTGGCGATTTGTCAATGTGGGGAAAATCGTCTTTCGAAATCTGTTACCTCGGAAAAAAATGAGCTCAATCCCAATATTATCGGACCCACCCAATTTTCCGGTATAAGCTATTCACCAACAAAAAAAAAATCTTAATTTATTAAACTATTATTAGACCAGCCAGTGGCTGCCACGGTTAGGTTCTATAAGTCATTCTCCGGCATTGAGCTCTACCGAATCTTCCAGCCTTAGTAGTATAATACAAGCCTTCTGTTCTTTGGTTGATCAAGAAAAATTACTTCTATTTTCCTTTCATTTTGTCAACGTTACCTAATCCATCATCAAAACCAGCTGATTAATTGACTTTCCTCCCGCACAATTGCCGATTACCCCCAGAGACGTCTACAACGGTTCTAAAAACTACAAAATATATGTTCCGGTAAATACTATGGTAGATAGTAGTATTTATAGGTAAATTTTTTTTCAAAAAGTGAAAAAAATAAAATAAGTAGGTATAAATCTGATATCTAAAATTGTAAAATCAAATAATAGTTGTCTTAATTAAAGTAACTTGACGTGAGTTTATAATATATTTATATATTACAATTTTGGTAACTGCTCATATTTTATAGATTTCCGAAACTTTTGTATAGCATAGAAATATAAAAATAAAAATCCATGTAGTTATACATTTACAAACAAATTCATTTGCAATTATCATTACTTAAATACATAAAATACCTAGCTAAATAATATTAGAACCAAAAAAATAGAAAAATTCACTACTATACAAAATATCGGAACCGGTTCTAGTTTAGGCTGAAGGTTCTTGAGAAAATCGAAAAAAGGTTCAGTTAAGGTTTCGGCTATTTTTAATTTCGGTTCCAAACTCATCTGTTATATATCCATGATACTAATCGAAACTGTCAGGTGGCACTGCTGAGTGCTCCCTCCAATTCTGTCATTGTGTCATTTATCACGTACCTACCTAATCGAAATGACGTTTTTTTTCTACGTACGGATTGTTATTATTTATTAAAAAAAAAAAAAAAATCATAAATTAAGTATGAACACAATGTCATATAATAAAATACTGACCCATGGTGTGTAGTCTCCGGCGACTTGAACGACCTGGACGGCGGCAATCAACAGGGCGCCGGCGACGATCGGGAGCATCTTGCGGCCGGTTTACAGCGAAGTACACGGAGAAGTATAACGATATTATCGTTGTAAGATATAATAAATTATATCGTTGGCTATGGAGCCAGTGGTTATGGAACGATATTGATGTGACGAAGCTCTGTGTGCGAACGTAAATCCGGATCGATGCGAATGTTATACGCGGTGGGCGGCGCACGAGTCGGTTCGTCCGGCGGCGTCTACCGGAATCGTCTGCGATGGTCGTCGACGGTGCAGTTGGCTGACAGTCGGCTGAGACGCGCGGATTACGTGACGAGAGGACGAGACGAAGCGGACCACGGGCGCACAGGATCGGCGGCACCGGTGTTATATACGCTCCGGCCGGCCGTCGCGCGACTGTTGGAAACGCGTTAGCGCGCGCGATAACGCGGCCGCGGAGGAGAACACACACGCGCGCAGCCTTGAACGGACGGCGCCGGCCGTAAGGTTACGCCGCCGCCGCCGTCAGGTATTATTATTATTATTATTGTTGTTACCGTCGTAGGCGCGCAATAATATTATAATTATTGTTGTCGTTATTAGCGCGACGTGCACCATGCGCTCCCGCCCACGTATTATCTAATGGTAATGATGATAATAATAATAATAAATAATAGTGGTAATACCTCTAAACGGTATTACGTGTACGTATAATATTATGTGTGTGTTTTTATTGAAGCGACACTGGCCGTTTGTAGGTCAAGCGTCGAGCGCCCGGGTGTACTGCTGCAGTTTATGTTATTATATAATATCATACCTGTAAGTACTTGCCAATTTGAACTCATAACACTTGTTGCTCTACACTTTTTCTGTGAATAAGTTAAGCTCACCCGGACAGACGAAGTGTAGTAGCAACAATTGTTGGAAAATCACTTATACTATGTACCATTTTTTGTACGACCTGTTGGTGTTTATCTTTTGGCATTAGGTACTGCGTAGAAGACAACTAGTAAAAATTTTAAAATTTTCCATTTCGATTCGAATTTGGTCGAGATACTGATAGTGGAACACTGGAATGTCTCTTATGACACAAATTGACACTAACTGATGTTGGTTATTTTTTTGTATTATTATTCAGTTAACTGCCAAGGCGACTTGGACCATTGGCTACAGGAATCTTAGCTTAATGAGTAATCATTTTATAATATTATAATTTAGAGGACAAAGAAGAAAAACAATTAACATAATATAGATGATTACAATGATGAATAACCAATACAGTTCTAAATGTTTGTCGTTTGTGAGTAGTTCAGTATCCTTTAGGAATTTTAGTAGGTAGGTAGGTAGGGTTTTAGGGGTACCAGTCACCAGAGCATAGATTTTTAGATAAGTAGTTTGTTAATCCATGCTAATTCTGACGTTGTAGTTAGTACTTCCTGCATTCGGTTAAAACGAGTTTAATCTTCAGAGGATATAATAGCAGGTCTGGCATCTTGGAGGATATTCTATCTTTACCAGGTATAATCATGTTTTATAAAATTCTGTGCTATAAGAGGGTTAAGTTAATATAATATGTTTGTAAAGAAAAAGCGCATATATGTATAGAGGAAGTACCTATATAATATACTAATTGACTACTGAGGATTGAGGAATCATTTAAATTAATTTTTAGATTCTGAATGGAATGAGGAAGCTACATAAAAAAATCGCATGTATATGTGTGTGTGTAACACAATTTTTATAAATGAGACAGCAAAGTGTTCGTTTGATACTCATCCACACATTTTTATTAGAAAAACACATTTGATGTTTTGCCCCAAAACACCTCTAGGCAGTGGCGTATTTAGGAATTTTTCATGGAGGGGCTCTAGCCAATTTTCCAAACACATTTAAGTGGGAGCTCCGCTACAGAATATATATATATTAGATGTTTAGATAGGTATTTATGGGGCCAATGGGGGGGGGTCATCCATCCGGACCCCATGGACCCCCCGTAAATACACCACTGGTGGTAGCCGGTAGGTAGGTCGTAGGTACATAGTTTGTTTTGTTATATGAGTGTACTACATGTAGACCTATGACGTTCAAAGCTCAGTTGTTACCTATTTTTTTATTTGAAATTCACATTATCAGTGCAAGACCGAATTACTCACACTTAACTAAGTCACAGTGTTTAGTGTGCCTGTGTGTTCGATCTCGATGATTATCGTTTTTACTGATTCTTAACTCGAGTCTGTATTATTTAGTTGAAAAGCTGTAAGCATGCCGGTGAATCTTCTGCATGACTATATAGTTCAATAATAATATTATCGTAAAGTATGGTGTTTCCTGCTGGGCGGCAGGAGATAAAAATTTGACAACTTTTTACTTCTGAACTAGGTACGAATAAAAAAAAATAAAAATATAGTTCGCACCATATAATTTGAAACAGATTTGTATTTTCGATAGGTACGTATATATTTGTATACACGACTTACACGTTACACAAATTATTAACATTTCGCTTGTAGGATGTGATGCGTAGGTTGTATAGGTATAACAATAATGTACTCACCAAGAAATTATTGAACAACATAAAACGCAAATTATAACGTTATTATATGTTACATGACATAATATTATCAGCAGTAAGCCAGTTTGGTCCGGAAAATATTAAAAAAAAATATTAAATATTCTTTTTTAGTATTCGTAAAATTGCTCTCCCGCAGATTTTGTAACAATATATGTAGATCATCTGAACCATCGCTGCATAACCACTAATAGTACGAGTTATTATTTATTATTCACATATGTTTACGTATCATATATGTATACAAATCCTAATAATAATATGTAATATAGTCGGGTAAATATATAATAATAATATTCCGTTTTATACATTTTAATTATTTTTATTTACACTAATATTGATCAGGCCATTTTTTTTACTTCGGTGTATTATTTGGTTTACATCGTTTTTACCATGTACGTTTATATGTTTTTAAATTAACAAACATTAAATTTTACCATCATATTATTATAATAAATAACATCGCAACATTCAACTGAAATCAATATTGCTAATATTATGTATTGTTACTTTGAAAGCGACAAGGAAATTAATTACACGTCGACTACCTGTTTATTTATTATAACGTATTATATTATTGATGTTTATACAATTTAGGTAAGTGTATAAACGAGGTGTATAATTACATTTACGCATTGTTCGAAAAAAACTAAACTGCAAAAAATTACAGTTGGGTTTTGGTTATGGCGATCGTGTTGTACATTATATTATAATTTCCACTTAAAAAAAAAAACTATAATAATAAATACAGTGGTCCTTTTTTCGGGGAAGGGGGGAAATACTAGAAATTTACCAGACCAGCCATCCACCATCATTAATCATCTACAATTCCAAACATGTCATATAACTGCTTTATGAGTTGATCATACCCCCACCCACCCTGTTTCCATAGATTTACGCTACTGAATAAATAGTGTATAGGTATACCTACAGAAATTCACTTTTTGTTAAGTTCGCCTATAATAGGTGTGTCCTGTGCGCGACCCACTAATAAATAAATGCATAAATGCATATGCATATGAAATTGAAAACTACGTTTTACCAATATATTGTTAAAACGTTTTTTATGATTTTATTCAACTTGATACAAGTTTTACCATGTAGAAATCTGAAATGAAAAAAAACTTATAATATGTTATTATGTTCTTTATCTTTTTACCATCGTGTACATAAATCGAATGTTAAAAGCGTTTTTGAGTAGGATTTTAAACCAGTTTTTACAACACTCTATGTCAAGTTAAGTCTTCCAATAAATATATATGTATATATGATTAAATATCGGATAGATTTTAATGGATAGATTATACAAAGCAAGAAAATCATAGTGCTGTGGCTTTACGAGAGAAAATCATTTCGTAAATAAAAACCAATTAGGTAGTTTTATAATACGACCGAGGTAAACCTTTTTTTTTTTTTTAAAAAAAGATTAAATATCAGATGAACACGATATTATTTAAGTTTGTATTTTTATATAAAACTATCAATTTATATTATGCTTGTCACTATATTGATACGATCAAACCATAAATTATGCCTAAGTAATATCATAATATAAAATCCTTCGATTTACATTTTATTGTAACACGCGGACCCGAATCTCGTTGCGTAACGTAATATTATTATAATACATCTTTAATATAATTATATGCAATCAAGATTGAAATTGTCCATAGTAATTTATAGTATATCTATAAGTCATACAGTGTAACGAACGCGAAGCAACTCGTTCGATGTTGTCAATTCGAAAACTTCTAAATCAAAAGATAAATAACGAAAATCAGAACGAGGATAGAAAGTGAGAAAAGTAGTTTTTTTTTAATATCCTAAAAAAAACGAGAATCACCACCCTCCGTGACGCCAATATTTAAGGGAAGATTCGACTTGAGTATGATATTTTACTTACACATATATAACACACACACACGTCCCCGATTCGAGATTTATCGCTCGTTGCGGAGTCAGGTTGGCCTATACGTATTTTGTACCTTTACGTATATTATACAGTGTTATGTTCACATAGGCAATACGGCTTTAAATGCAATTTTATTTGGGGCGAAAAGCGTCTTAAGGTGGAACGAAATAATGTCCCGAGGGAATTCGTTTGATTCCCTATTATTAGTCAGACGCACACGCACCTCACATCGTATAATATATATAAACCTTAAGTCTCCTCATGTTTCATGTATATTTTCTGTGACTACCCATATATATATATATATACGTATAATATATTATATCGACTACCTGCTATGTATATACGCATTATGTCGGCGAGTTTCCTTCCGGATGACGTGACATTTATTTCACTCGTAACATGACGTTTTCGATAAAAAAAAAAATATACCAATTTCGCTTTAGCAACGAACTTTATTAGTCCTTTTTTTATGTACATATAAATATATTTTTCAGACTACCTAATAAATAATAATAATATATAGACTACATTTGGCATATCAACGGTTTTCACTATTGACAATAATAATATAACTCTTTTGAAGTCATTGCTGGCTTATATAGACTTGATTCGATGTTATTCACTGCAGCTTCAGCGACATAATTAATATGTTTTTTTATTATTAATTTTACTTTATTTATTTGCTCAGCCCCTTTGATGTAGGAGGCACCAACCGATATTAATATATCTTCTACAGTGGAGAATACTATTATATACACGGTAGTGATAAAATATAAAATGCATTAATGATTATGATGTCTATATATTTTATTCGTACAGTTTATGATTTAATTTATATTATATAACTTTATGTTGTGTCAAGAAGCCGTGTTTTTCGAAATCTCGTTAAACAGAGTCATCGGTGCAGCGGCATGGTAGGGGAGGTACCCTCCGCAGCAGTTGTATAATATA